AGGCAGTGTCCAAATCCAAACTATAATATAGTTATATTAGTATATAGATAGGCCATATCAAAAACAAGGTTCACGGCGCTGTCGCCGCCCGTGCAAGGGTTGCTCATGGTGTTTGACCCGTCGCATGGTCTGACAGTGTGTAACCCTCGCAGGGGTTTTCAAGGTTTCAATGGATCTGCACACTTTTTTTTATTCTTATGTTTATGTATGTTCATTGAAATTTACAGTAGTCCGGTGTCGATTTGTGTTTATCACCACAGCGAGAATCAAGTTGTTTCATGTGTTTTCTTCGTTGATGCGACCTGTACCGTTTCGGAGCAGCAATGTGATCCCAACAATCTTTCAAGTCTGAAAACTCTTCTAAACACTCGAAGTCCATAAACCGATGTGAATCTAATGTGCAAAGACAAAGCAACACAAACGTCAGTCCACCAGCGAGTGCCTAGATCCAACAAGTCGTCCAAGTAGCAGGGGTCCCAAACAGAGAAACCAGACAAAGGACCGGGCCAGGAAAACATAAAGTCAAATCCCAACAAACGAATTAACAAAACAAAGCAAACCACCCAAACTGAACCTGCGCATGCGTGAACCCAAAAACTTGGATTGAATGGTGTAATGACCCTCAGGTAGCCCCAAACACAAAAAGCATAAATAACGATTCCGCACATGTAAACAAAAACATGTAACATCAACATTATGCGTTCTTGTCCCCCCCACCCCACCCCACCCGAAAATCAGTTCGCGGGCAGCGAGGGCGCCCAGAACCATAAAACAACCACTCGTGCAAGCAAGTGACACCCAAACCAAGTATTCCCCTCACGGTGGAAGCTTTGCAACCCTTGATATGGAAATCCAAGCTTTGCATCATAAATCAACAGACCCATTTGGAACCACCCAGACTCATAGGGTAGTAGGATATAACAGCCTCGTGTAGGATCCTGGATTCAGCTTATGGCCTCGCTAAGGACAGCAATGACGGCGCACTCTTCTGGAGCGGCGTGGTGCGAGGTTTGTTGTCAGCCGTCACAGGCGGCGGTCTTTTTCGGATACTGGTGATGTGGAGAATCTGGCTGCAGGAACTTTCAGCAAAAGCCGTTCATGTCAGGGTAGTATTACTGTAAGGTTTTTTGGGATTGATTTGGGTCCCCATGACATTTGGGGATGGCGGTCAGTCTGAGACTGTTTTGATGGTCGATGCTTGGAGCATCCACGATGTTGTCTATGATTGGGATCCAAACGAACTCCGACGACTGGGGGTCACAGTTGACCTCATCCCACGGTGCACCATGTAAGGTCGACTACAGTATATATATATATATATATGGGAGTTGATCGAAAACCCCGTGTAAGGAGTTATTTATATATATAAATATTGATCAACCACCGTATATATATATATATCCGTTTGTGAGTCGAATCATGAGGAATCGGTGCAAAACGTCGGTGGATTGGTCATCCAGGGTGCCCGCCTTTGGGACCCCATTGAGTGCAACACCGGCAAGTGCGGACACAGTCTCAAAACCCCGTGCGACCGCACCGGCACGTGCGGGTGCGATCACGGGCGACAGGCAAAGGCTGTAGGAAGCAACACCTTTTCGGCACGTCGGTGCAGTGGGGAGTCCCAGCCAGGAGTGATTGCATTCTTAGATGATGTCTTTGACAGAGGAGCAGGAATTGTTGGAATTGCAATCCTGTGGTAGATGCTTGTGTTGATCGAACAGGAGTTGGTATGTGTCGGAACAAATCCACTTGTTTGTTTGTATATGTAAGCAGGTGATGGCAAGCAGGTGACAACAAACAGTTCTATAGCCGACTCTTCTCTCCTGTTGGTCTTTGTGCTGAATTTGCTTTGGGCACAAATGCAAGGAAGCGGGAACATCACCAGGAACGGCGGCCATTCTTAAGAAACACCGTTCTCATATTCTGTGCTTGTGTTTGTCTCAGATCTCTGCAGGAATGTCAGTAGATTCAGGATGATTCAGGGATCTCCTTTTGCAAATAATACAAATAATTTGCACAGCCTGGCATCCTAGGCAAGTCAGGTAGAAACCCGAGTTCCTTACAACAGTACCTGCCATGTGCTGGTACACTGACAGAAGATCCTATTTCCCTCAAGTGAACTTGCATTTGGAACCTTTGACCTTCCTGAAACTAGGACAACTATAGGACTGTACAAAGAGTCACCCAATAGACTAACGTGACTAACTGACGTATTGCTTCCTTATGACACTTGTTGACACCTGAAATGCATACGAGAAAAAGGCCACTTGCATGTTACTGGGCCTCGCGAAACGGCCGATTCCACCGTACCGTCCTCTTGAAGGAAATGAGGGCTGCCATATCCCCATGGAATCGTTGAAGTACACCGTTGAAGTACACCGAGATGAGGAAAAAAAGACATGCCAAGACTTTTGGACCCAGACTGCATGCTTGTTGCACCCACCTCACACCCACCTGCCGTGCCGGTGTCCATGCGTCCCAGGCCGCTCTTTTGGGATGGCCATGAGCTCAAGCGGGGCCAAGGCATCGGCATGAAACGCAGGCGGAACTGCTTTCAGGGCGGACAAGGCGGTCGTTGTTGAATGAGGTGCAAATGATGTTCCATACCGACCATCGATCGCCTCCGACTCCGACCATGTTTTAACTGAGTACATACTCCATGAACTATTCCCCAAACGCTACTTATAAGATCTACTCCAGACTCATCAGACTCCTAAACCCCAACGTTCGGCCAAAGACACGGCCAGGCACAGTTTGGACAGCCGCATCACCGCGCCACGGGTGATGTCGGGCGCCGTGAGCCATTTGAGCTCTTTGGTGAACCGACCTCAAATCCCTGGCCACTCGGCGAGGTCGGTCGTGTTCGGTCACATCTGTTTGAAGTCCAGGTCTCCGGTGTGCCGGCAGCAATTGGGGTGGGGCAGGATGGCTGAGGTTTTCTACCTGTGAGCTCTACAAAACGGCGAAGTTTACTTCGCAGCACAGAAAGGATGACGCTCTGGAACAGCTCCATCCCACGACCAGTTATAGCGTGCAGGCTGGCGAAGGATGTCCTACCTCGTCACAGGATGGTCATTCCATGTCCAGAGTATTGGGTGGCGCGGATTCTGTTCCAAGTTCCAACAGTCGGATTTTGCATCCCAGTGACTTCCTCATTTTTTCATTTTTTTTAAACATGCCCTTTGAAGCAAAGACAGAACCAGGTGGAACCATACTGTAAGCGTCTTTGTTGGCTCATCGCACATCATCTCGACAGCTGGATTGCTGGGGAGATTTTTAACTGATCACAAACCAACATCGCAGGTGGTGAGTACAAGCCTGTACCATATCAAATTCATGTCAAAACTGTAAAAACAAAAATTGTCAAAAAAGAGAAAATGGACTCTTTGAGATGTTATGGCAGTCATATTTGCACTCCATGGCTCCATCAACTTGAGGTGATGGCTCGATCGACATCATTGACTGTTCCAACATTGATCAGTGACTCGGCTGACGGCGTCGGATGGAGCTCACAGTTGAGCGATGAAGCCTGCAACACATGCTGAGTCGACCAGGAAACCAACAGAGTCTCAATGTTGTTGGTCCCTTTCTGTGAGCCTGGCGATTCATTTTGGGCTGTGTTCAGAGGTGGTTAGCCCCACATGAGTGATTCAGACAAGTTTGGATCGGGCAATATGGCCAAGGAATGTGCACGCTTTGCGGCACAACTATTTCATGTTGAACACGCAGATGGTGGAGGTCACTTGCCGTCAACGACGTTGCGATGTGAGAACTGAATCATGCAGGTCAGCAAAAGCTTGCAAGAGGTCCACAGGTCCAGTTGAAGTTGTCCCTTAAATTTACATGAATTTACACAGGTTTTCCTGCAGGTTTAAATGAGGTTTTTTTAAGTGATAGAGTCTGGTGTTGCCGTCAGACCATTTTCCAAAAAGTCGGGCTCTATGCTGCTACTTCTTCACCTTGAGAGCTAATATGCTGTGTCCATCAAATCAATGATAAATGCATTAATTAATGCAGCCATATCAGAAACGGACAGAAGCAACAGACGAGTCATCGTTGAATGTTGAGACTTGAAACTCAACATGCTGAGACTTTGATCAACATGGACACACAGACTGGACTCTGTAGAGGAACTTCAGCTTCCTCCAGGGAAACCTTCAGTTTGCCCGGCTGAAACCTGTCACGTCCGCCGTGTCCCGTGCACGTCCGTGCATGTCAGGACATGTGTGACTTGATCGGACACCGGCAAAAGGCGCCGAGCCGCAGCCGGCTATGTCAGCACGGCTCCTTGGAGGACGTCCGGGTACGTTTGGGGACGTCCGGGTAACGGAGGTGTGCGGGGAAAACTGAGCGGTCAGAGGGGAACACCATGCGAAAAACCCATGTCATGGCAAGGCAGCCTCATTGTGGAGAGATTGTGGAGGGACATGAACGTCACGATGATCCATGATGATCCATGATGATGATCGATGAACCCATCAACCAACTCAAATAGTTAAATTGAATCAACTTATCTTATTATTTGCATGCGTGTGTGTTTCTTTTCTGTTAGGGATTAGCTCCAGGTGTACTGGATGCCAACAGCACTCATCGGTGCCAGTTTTCGATATGTCTCACCTTCCCTCCATCTCAGGTGATGGAAACGTCTTCAGCTTCCTTTCACCGCCCTCCTTTCTGAAGTCATGAAGCGGATCAAAGTATCCGAACATCCGAAGGGGCCCTTTCGGGGCCCGAGATCCGATTCGAGGAGAAAAGAGGTGCAAACAAACAGGGCCGATGCGACAAACATCAACAAACTGTCCGGTGAAACCCCCAAGCCCAGGGCGGATGCGGCGGATGCGTCCGGTGAAAAGCCCCTTATTCAGGAGGATGTCCATCGCGAGCGATGAATAGCTTGCCACGAACCATCCAGGACCATAGAGGTGGGTGGAGATCCAGGCAAAGAATTTCTTCAGGTCGCAGACATATGGCTGAAAGGTTCTGAGTCAGTAGCCAGGACGATGGAAGATGCCAGAGCTGTCAAGATGGCGCGACTGAAAGCTGCAGGGCAACTGAGCTATATCGAGAAGCTGGAACCAATGCGCATGGAGTCAGGGCTCAATTGGTGTTCGGAACTCTCGATGGATACAGCTTCGGCAAAAGCGCGGCCACGGATTTTCGGGTGAAGAGGGAGTTGATCGGATTGAACGGTTGGGAGGTGGGTGCCGTTTTTGTGGTACGGGGGAATTGGCTCTACAAACGTTCGCTTGAGATCGCGAGGGACCCAGGGATGCTGTCGGCAGGGGATGGGCGCCATGCGCTTGGACCAGTAGAAAGGAGGTGGCTCGCGAGTGGCGAACGCAGGTGGCGAAAGCAAGGATGACAAACAGAAGTTGGTAGGTCAGACTCCGGTCAGACAGTATAATTCGCAAGTCTTCCTAGTAACTAGTAACTAGGAGTGACTAGTGAACGATCAACAATTTCATGGCATGGATCCATACCAGGAGATCCCTTCAAAATGTCAAAACCCATCAGAACCCTTCAATTCACTCAAAACCCTCTGGTATTTCTTTGATTTCTTCACCTAGGATTTCTAGAGGCCTATCCCCTACCGACCCCTCCTATCGCCCAACAGCCTTCCGTGTTTTTTGGGTCAGCCTGGTCGCCCGCCCAGACATGGAGCGTCTTCCCCAAGCGGTACACTCCCAGCGGCCCGGTGCCACCACCTACTACTCCACGGCCGACGTCACCACCTGCATGGCTGCGGGGTGCAGTTTTCTTCCAAGTGCCATGCGCCTTGCAGTTTGTGGTGGCAGTTTTGGTGATTGAAACCAGTTTAGTCAAGTCTCTTGTCAATACTGTAAATATCTGTAAATATATATATACAGTATTTGCTTCTACTTGGGGGTTGGATTAGGTCTTTGGGGGGCCACTCTCAGTTTGAGAGAAAATGTATGAACATGTAATATGGATGATTTTGAGGTGTAAAGACAAGTGCATGAAATCCCACACAACCAAATGGAGCCTTGAGGCTGCCTTGCCCCTTTACGATCTTTACGATCGGTGGTTCATGTCCGACAGGTTACTAACAAGCCTCTCGGGACCTGGCCCTGGGCAGGATAATTTGTCGCACTAGGCGTCCAAACACCGTGGGGGATCTGACTTTATGCCCGTCCTTGCTCCGTTCGTAGCTTCTTGTTCCTGGTACTACGGCCAGGAGCCCCTAGTAGTGTCCTTGCTCCTAGTAGCGATGCCCGTCCTTGCTCCTAGTAGCTTCATGTCGCAGCCTGAAGGTATGTGTTTGGTGGTGTTTGCCAAGATAGATCGATGGCTAAACTATTCCGTACCATCCCATGATTCCGTACCGGGGTCATGTCTCTAGTCTAGGCTGGATTACGTCTATGATTCTTCATCTTAACAAAGATCTGAGTAGATTCAGCATCAAAGAGAATGTAGTGGTATGGTGTCCACAGAAGCAGACTCACAGAACAGCATACAATCTTGGCAGGTGGCACTCCCTGGAAACGAATGTAAGGGGAATACCTTGTCACATTCTATTGTTGAGACAAGCAAACATGCGAGGCTCCTGCGGTTCTTTGACTTTGAAATGTACGGGACACACACAGGGTTCCCGAACACAGACTAGACTAGACTGGACTGTTGTGTTGCTTGCTCAAAAAATGCAAATACAAGCTTTGAGTCAAGCGACCCATTCAAGCTTTTAATTTATTGTTGTTTAATTGATTTCAGTTGTAACAAGTCAACCTGTTGTATAACATTGTGTATAACAAGTGACTTAGGTTCAACTTATGTTTGGTTAAGTCAATGACCCAGTTGCATGACTCCCTCAGGCACCGAACCGCCCTCCAAGTACTCGCCTCCGCCAGAGCCGCAGTGCTGCGAGCCGCCGAACGTGGCGCCCAACGTGGCGCCTGCGCGGCCCAGCTCAGGCAAGGAGTACGGAGTGGTAGGGATGAGCTCAAAGGATTATGTTTGACAATATATTAGTTCGAGATGTTATTTCAATCCGATCAAATAAGAACCACGAAATGACAAGCGCCCTGGTTCTTAGACATGACCTCATAATTCATGTTTGCTTGCCTCATTGGGTCGATCCGGGCATGGAATTTTGCGAGGAAGACGTGCAGGTGGATGATTCTTGGTCGACCAGCTGTTTGCAGCAGGTTCTGCAAATGTCGGACCCCGAGAGTTCACTGCAGCAGATGGCTGCAATTCAGGCTATCAAAGTGGGTACTGAGACCCCCTGTAAACAGGCTTCCGTTGGAGATACGAAGGCAAATACGCCATCTATGTTCTACTATAATATGCCCTATCCCGCCCTACTACACAATTTCTATCAATTAGCTGATGTCAATTAGATTCCAAATCCTGGGTGGTTCCTTTTAGCCAGTTGTTTGGAAGATGTCCAGTGCTCGCAGTGCTCTTTCTCCAAGCTTCTGGCAGGCAGGAGCAATCCCAACAAGTGCTGGACACCGCCTGCAGCGCCAACAGATCTAAGCTCAGGCATGGCAATGAGTGGTGTCAGTGGTGCTTGACGAATAAGAGAGGCTGAATGAGCCATGAGCTGAACAGTTTCTGGATCACGATTGGTGACACTCCCGCCACGTTCACGAATGAATGTACTGGAAAGAACCCCTCACTCGGCAAAGTTGTGAGTCTCTCACTTCTAACTAGTTACCCGAGTAACATCTCTGCAGTTTGAAGTTAGCTTGTCACTTTATTTGCTTTGAAGTTTGGTTGATTCCGTGTTGGAATGTCAGTTCATTTTATAATTATATAGTTTGATATTGATTTCCTTCTTGAATGTCACTTTCACAATATCCCTTTACAAGTGTTGTTCTGTTGATTGCTATTGATTCCAGAATAGTTACTTTGAATATCTTGCATCCACAGCATTCGGGAATGCACTTGAGATGCCCATGCAAAAGCCAAGTATTGCCCAAACAAACTTGGCCAATAGAGTGGATAAATTAGTTGCCCAACCAATTTCTAGTTTGGATCCAATCATTTTGCCCAATTGGTGTCGTAAAGCCTTTTGTCAAGCTTCCATCCGCTAGGCAGGAGCACTCCTAACAAGAGCTCCGAAGAAACGCGAAGGACGCCACATGCGGACAAACAGGGAATCGGAGCTGCTGAGGATGGCGCAGGCGCTGGTTGTCACGCAACACCATCATTTGGGAATACATGCTTCGCCCGGACTGGATGCTCCAGAGAAGCATGGGCTGTAAGACAACTGACCCACATGGTTTGCATGTTGGTGATGAAAAAACATCTTGCGATCTTCGCCGCACACAACAACGCATCAGGCAAAACTTCCAAGTGCTCGCCGAAGCCTGCACCACCATCGGCGCCATGGATACCACAGCCCCACCCTCCACACACACCCACTCCTAGTCCCAACGGCTGCTTTGAATCCAATGCCACCGGGCAGAGAGAATGCATTGGAAGTTTGTGTGTGTGTGTGCGTGTGGCAGATGTTACATGAAGTCCAATTTGCTGTCTTTTTTTGGTTTATGAGCCCCTTTTATGTTTGCAATAGCATTGAACATCGTCAAGCGGAAGCATGGGTTCCAGCCAGATGGGTTCTGAGGACGACTCACTCACCATCAAACAGCAGGCTCAGTCGAGGACAGCCCAGTCCAAAACGGCTGATCAAGCGACGGAGGTCGAGGAGAGAAGAAGACACCAGTTGGCCGTGGAGGTTGATCGGATTTTGCGACTCACGAATGGCACCCTCGACTGGGACAGAGTCCTTTGCCTGGAGAAACATTTCAGTCAGCTGGATTTGTGTTCAGAGATGTTTTGCTATTTACTATTTTATATAAGCAGATCTATAGAATCTATGCTTGGATAAAAAGTTTGGGTGAATAAAGGTGTTGGCATCGTGAAGTAAGGTTGTACCAACACATGTTCATTTTTAGAGTTCTTGAGCTTCTGGATGGCCCTTGTCAGGCGAAAGAGACTTAGAGAAGAAGAAGCGCGAACTCTTTCGGCTGTTGCACCCGGACAAGAGCTCCCGCTTTGCCCATCAGCTGGGCCTCCGGGGCGGTGTGGAGCGGATTCGACAGGCCTACAACCTGGTGGAGGAGGCCTATGCAAAGGCCAAGGAGACGCTCAACTTGATCAGTGTTTGAAAAAAGTGATTGCTCGGAGTGTGGAGCCCGACGGGTGGGATGGATGGGTGGCCAAGTAGGCAATGACCCCGGAAAGAACCCCAAGTACTCAATGGGGGCTCATTTTGAGATATTTTGAGACACGTTTGCCCAGATGCCTCTTTTGAATGAGGATTGGATCTGGCGGGTGGCCGTTCCTTTGGCATTTAAATAGGGGGTTTCAGAAAGCTATGGCCATGACATACCATGACCATTCCCTACTGCATAGATAGTCATTGTCCATGAAATTGATCTAAATTGACTTCCCTAATATAGAATGCTGGTGGACTGATAGATATACCCCCATATTCCCCCCCATTATCCCTTTATTGGGATTGTAAACCATTTTCATATGATGTGTTGTTTTGCTAATCAAAGGTTTACATAAGGAGCCAAAACCACCCCTGCCATCTCAGCAGCTATAGGACATTGGAAATTTGAGATCGCCATGGCCCCCACCAATGTGAGGTCTGTCCCCTCCATCCAATGCGTCAGATCTTTGTAGCCAGGCTCCGGTGTTGAAGAAGCCAGCGGCGCGGGCCGAGCCGCCACTTGGACGGCAGGCGGCAGGTTCGGAATGCGAACTGGACTTTGGGGGAGTAAGACAAAATACAGTAACTTTGGAGGGCCGGGTAGAGCTACATCGAGTTGAGTCATATAAGTACCTCAGTGAACGGTTTGAGTTTATTTGTGTTGGGCATTTGCACACGTCGAGTGTTCCCTTTTTGATGAGGAAAGTTGGTGGAAGTCCTGGGGTGCCGATGATGCAACAGAGGATTGTGAGTTGCTTCACTACCTCGTCACGCTCTTTTTTTCTTCCATTATGGAAGACCAGTAATGATCCTCCTTGATCGTTCGGTTTGGTCAGGACCGTGAGGTACGGCTTCCAGCGCCCCCATCTTCCAGCGCCCCCAGGAAAGGCGCGGCCAAAGCGAAAGGCAAGGCGAAAGCCACGGCCAAAGAGACCGAACCAGCTCCTTGGCACGGCTTGAGAGAGAGGCGCCCAGTACGCCCATGTGGGTCTTCACTCTCCGCCCTTGGACTGGAGAGATTGTTCGACTCTTTCTGTGGTTTGTTTAGTAAGGAAGACTGGATCACCATGAAACCAACCACTGGATTTGGACATTGTATTCCAGATCTTAGAGGTTGTGAGGGATGTTTTTCTCTTCGGTGGTGTTCGTTGTGGTCACTGAATCCTCATGACTGCAGGCTGAAGAACCAGAGCCAGCAGAGAAGGATGAGGCGATCTGTTTGCGATCGTCGGACGGTCCTCGATCAAGCCCCTTTAGGCTAACCCAAAGGTGAGATTTCTGTATATGTGTGTATTTTAAATGGGGGAGACCTCCCAACCAATGGATTTAGTTTGTCCATTGATTTTCCCACAAGTCTTTGAGTCTTTGAGGTGTCTCCCTATTCTATGCATACAAAAATTTGGGCGTGTGATTTCTTGAATTTGGAGGTTTATTTACAGTATTTGTCATGAGGTCGAGCGATTCCTGCAGTCCTAGGCAACAGAAAACTTGCCATCCAGCACGCTAGAGAGCCAAAGCAAGAAACAGGGAATATACATGCAATCATTATTAACGATGAGTTATGGCTGGGCTAGAACTCATCATGAAGTGGCTGAGCCATAGATATAATTACGGTAATAAATACATAACTGATGAGCTATAGCTAGTCGTGAAGAGCATGATTCCAATTGCATTCCAATCTCAAGCTTCGATTCATTCTGTTGCTCGAGGCACCAAAGCCCAAAGGAAAGGCAAAGGCAAAGGCCAAAGCGAAGGCGATGGCAGATAAGATGTTAAAGCACCTTCCATGGCCGAAACCTGATAGCCTCCGCCGGTTTTATGTCCACATCCATGTAGTTGATCGGACAAAAGCAAATTATAACATTATATAACTGTTTTATCCCCTGAGACCGCGTGAGGCCCCGATATTCTCCCTCAACAAGATCTGTGGAGGGTAACTTGCTGTTTCATGTTATTTGCCTAAATCCAACGGCTGATCAAGGCAAAGGATAAAATAGGAGGCCCCAGAGCGCCAAAGATTCAACAGGGCGTTTTGTTGGATTTATATAATTCAATACTTTCAACTGAACACGGGTCCCGGGTTGTGCTAGTCACGTTTGTTTTTTAGTGTTTAATTTGATCAAAAGGATTTCATCTCAGAATTGAGATCGTTTGGTTATCGATAGTTTGTTTGCTTGTTCGTTTTGGTGCTTGCTTTGGATTTGTCTCAGCTTGATCATCCCTACTGTTGATGACATCCTCGGTCAAGGCAGCGCCAGAGCCGGAGGAGGTGGAGGAGGAGGAGGCGAGCGGACGGGGAGACCTTTCTTGGTTGGCGCCGCTGAGCGGCTGCATTCCTCTCCCGAGAATCCATGGGACTGCATCCCTCCATGGACCTTTGAACCCTCGTGTGTGTGTGTGTGTGTGAGGGGGGGGGGGGGGGGGGGGGGGCCGCAGCAAAAGGTCGTGGCAAGGACCTGGAGATCGATGGAGGTGACCTGGCCGGAGCCAGATGTGGTACTTTTCGGTGCCGATGCTTTTAGATGCTGGAAGCCTGTGAGTTCACAACGAACTCTTCAAAAAAAGACAGCAGGTGAGACAAGAGATAAGTATGAGATACTATGAATATTGGTAGGCTCCTCCAGGCCTACACATGCACCCCCCCTCGGCTATCCAAAGGCAAAGCCGCCCTGACGACATGTGGCGCAGGAAGACGAAGATGAAGAGGAGGAAGAGGCCTACATTTTCCCTTTTTGAGTGTGACATGGTGAGGATAGTCCGTTTAGAGTTGCAAAGTGCATTTTTCGGACAAGCTGTCAGGTTGGTCAGAAAACTTCGATCTCTAATGATCTCTACCTTTTTAAATTTGGTGGAGGATATGATATCACGGCCAGAACGTAAAACGCTGGCGCCCTCGGGGGAGTGTTGGTCCGGGAGACCGGGTGCGTCAGGATGGAGAGGAGGAAGATGCCGAGGAAGATGAGGAGGAAGATGAGGATTCCGAGCAACACAGACGATGGATTTCCTGTTATAGGGGTGGAGTCGGTCTTCAGCTGGGGATATCAAGCATGTATGCTGAGGTCACAAGCACCTATCAGTGTTGCAGCTATCGCAGTCACTGGCAGATCCTTTTGAGGAGATGGAGGAAGCTCCTGTCTTGAAGAAGCCAGCTGCGGCCAAGGCTGGTGGTCTGGAAGTGTTCGCATAGACACCGTGGTGTTTGAACGACCATGTGTCTCAAAACCACAGGATTGCAAGACATCTCATCAGAAGATCGGCTTGGTCATGACGCGTTGTTTCTTTTTTTCCGAAACCTTCAATCGATGTATACTGTATACTTGTCTATTTTACAAGGAGTGAGCTACTCAGACTCCAGCGTGAAACATTTGCAAATGCAGCCTCTCTCAGTTGGGGCATACTCTCAGAGAGGGAATACGTTTGGGAACTCTCGATATGAGCCAAACTATATGAGCTGAACTTAATATATATATATACGTACATATAATATATATATATATTGTTTTTAGTCTAATGTATAAAGTAAGGACCGTTCCCAGGAATTGAGAACCCCCTTGGCCACCACTTGAAAATTCAGTGCTTGAATTGGATATGTTACAAGCAAGACATAGGAACGCTCCTGACTTGTGTTGACTTGTGCTAGCGCTGGTGCTAGCTGTCGCTAAGTCGCTGCTGCAGATCGCGTGCCTACATGGGCAACATGAGTACATGGTAGTTCATGGCTCGACTGAATTGTGCAGATACCACCGAATATATATATATATATAGAGAGACACCCTCCCAGTGCTAAAAAGTGAATGCTAAGTCGCTGCTGCAAGCACCTCTCACGTTTTCACAGAGACACATGCGCACACAGGCCCAAGAGGATATTCCTACTGTTTAGTTTGCCCAGTGTATGGAAGCGACAACTAGCGCATGGATACTCTTGATCACAGCCGTTTGGTGGCCCGAGGCACTGGTGGAGGCCTGTTTGCAACTTTGACCACTTGCCCAGATGTGCAACGCAGCATCGTGCTAGCAAAGCGCGCTAGGTTTGCGCTGGAGGCACTGGATTGTACGACCTTGACCTAGGCTTTTGATCAAAACCGTTTAGTGATGTGAGGCTGCGCTATCGCGGAGTGCGCTAACGCTTGACATCGCTTGACCACTTGCCCAGCCGATTTCCACAGACATTGAACAATATAGGAACTCACCTCAAATAACCCACTCATGTTGACGCACTTTGACTTTTTACGTGCAAGCTGTATGTAAGAAGATGTAAGAAGATCGCCACTTAAGCTTCATAGTTGGAAGGCCAGCATGCACAACGGAAACATAACAAGTATAAAAAAAAAAAAAACAAAACAAACACCCATGTCGCGTTCTACATGACCTGTTCGCCACGTGAAAGCCATCACTTGGCAAAAAAATGGAGTTGGTGTGTATATATATATATTTATGTGTAAAGATGTTCATTATGGTTGTTCTGTTTCAGCATATATAATATATGTGACAGGTCTCGGGTGTGGGGCCGTTGATTCCTTCACCACCATTGACCACGAGTAATTGACAACATGTTTGGTTAAAACCTTTCTGGAATGGTCGTGGTCGGTCCCCAAAAGCATAGATGCAGTCCAAATCATCATTTGATTGGAGGTCCTTTGACCATTCTGCTCACTTTATATTCTGGCCAGATCAGCGTTTAAGTGCTAGCTTATAGCCGTTTGTGAAGATTTGTTGGACCATGCTCGAGCTGGTGATGGGAATTCTGATGCATGAGGTGATCCAACATGCACATGGTTGGGAACATGGAAGACTCACCGATTGTTGTTTCCAATTATTCAAACATCCAATTTTCTGTGAGAAACATCAAACATGCTTACACACTGAATGGATCCAGGAGAACAAATGATACGTTTTTTGGATTGTCAGAATTGTATAATGATGTTGGCGAACGGCCTGGGAGAGTTTGGTGAATATGCCCTGGGTGTTGGCAATCCAGTGGTAGATAGCCACATCGTTTGTTCCAATGCACTGTATATTATATATACATCAAATCATACTATATGATTGATTATTCACACACACACCTGCTGTTCGATTCATGTAGCCATGGTTATTAAAAGAATACGAAAGACGTCGGGAAAAACAACGAAACATAGCAATGAAAATTGTTGTTCCCATGGATGCGCTGGGTTGGCAGGCGAAGTCCTCTGCCAAGGCTGGGGTCTTCCGTTCTTGCCTTGGAACAATTGAGGACCCCCAGTCCAAAACCCGGTAGAAGGGAGCATGGACTATATAACAACCCGAGAACTTGCTAGGAAACGCGTGTCTTCACTGCCACAACTCCACCAATAGGCAAAACCCCCAACTGCCTTGAGGGCTGCCTTGCTCGCCTGGTGAGGCGAAGGCAACGCCCAAGGCGAAAGCAAAGGCGAAAGCCAAAGCGAAGGCAAAGGTGAAGGTGCGACACCTTCCGATCGCGAGGGACGGTCTCGGCCGGGAATAGACCGCCCTCACAACTCTTGGCCAGCAACCCTGAGTTCTCAAGCACTTGTATTGGCAAAGCCTTTTCTATATTCTTGGGGTAGCTACTTAGGGTCTTGATGGTTTCCACCAGATTGCCAAGCATGTTGCCAAACGAGCCCACACAATTGCAACGATGACCGCAAAGAACTGCTTGCCCCATCAACTCCATCAAGGCAAGGTTTCTATGAAAGACAAGAGTCGATTCGTTTGTTGAGTTAGTCAGCTCGTTTGTTGAGCTGTTGTTGAGTTATACTGTGAATCGGACCAGATGAGGCCGAATGCTGAAGGCTGGACATCATCACCTCACAAGGCCCAAGGTTCCCACAGGCCTCACAGCCATCCTGAACATTCATTAAGTGCCATACCATTCATATCATGATGCTTTCAGGACCTTCAAAGTGATCTCTTTGGAGTCTCTAAGTGACCTCGTCAGGGACAATTCGTGACCTCATCCGATCTCAAGTTCGGTCTTTTGGAAGGTCTCTCGGTCTCTATGATCGCTTTAAAAGTCTTGGATATTTAAAGACCAGTGAACAGTCTCTTGGAAGCAGGTCTTGGTGGAAGCAGTCTCAAGTTCGGTCCTTCGTCTAGAGACCTGCTTCTTCCAGGCTGCTCCGAAGAAGGCGGGCGACAAAAATTGAATAAACACGCGCGGCGGTGCGAAGAGAAGGCGGCCGTTTTGTGCGAAAGAAACGGGGGCCTAGCGAGGACGCTACGAAGTAGTGTCTCCTGGCCTTACTACTATAGGAACAAGAAGCTACTAGGAGCAAGGGCAGCAAGGGCATCGCTACTAGTAACAGTTGGAAAGCTTTATTCCAACCCATCGGCCGTTCAAATTACCGGGCCGGTTGGCCGAATGAATTCCGCATCCCCCTGAGAATACATGGAGGTTTGATTGACACAATCGTCAGGAGTCCCCGAGTGTTCCTCCATGTAACAAAACATCTTCGTCAGGAACTTGTACCCTCGGTTCCAGAGCTAGACATGAAGTGAGCGAGATCATCAGCTTCCCAGCGAAGGATGAGGTCCAACGGTCCGACATGGTCCAACGGTCGAGGTTCGGTGAGCAATTGTAGCGTTTGGTGACGGTGAGCAATTGCAGATTACTTTCATAATACGGTCCAAAAGGATCCAAAAGGTTTGAAGACCAAGTCAGAGACCACCCTGGCATCGCTACTAGGACTAGGAGCAAGGATGCTACTAGGGGCTCCTGGCATCGCTACTAGGAGCAAGGATGCTCCTAGGGGCTTTGAAGACGAAGTCAGAGACCAGCCTTCAAAACTGATTCATGTGACTATGTTTGCTTTAAATTACTTTTATACATGTGTATCGCTCACCTCGTGATTCCCAAACAGAAGCTTTTTCTTCACGAAGAGTCGCCCCGTTGTGGAAAACTTGACCGAGCAAGGATATAAAGATGTTAGAAGACCGATTTTTGTGGTTCACCTGTACTTGGACCTGTCATCGCAGTCCAACAACGACCGTTTCACCAAGCGTTGTTTCACCTTTTCCGTGGAAGATGGGAGGTGCTCAAGAAACCGGCGGCCCGCAAGTGATGCTGACGAGGCTGGGAGATGGGAGAGGGCTCCAGGTGCTTTTCGGCATCGGGGCAGGGTGTCCTCTTTCTAAAGCTTGACTTTAGCCTGTGGTGCCGCAGGGTTCTTCATTTGAAGGGCCCTCGTCTGGTGTCGACCATAAAGCTGGGAACTCTTTGGAGACCAGTAGGTTGACCCAACACCTCGCCTGCGATGTTGGTAGTTCGGTGCACTGGAAGGATCAATAGATCAGGTGGACATGATCAAACAAAAGGTGATTGCGAAGTCGAGGTGTTAAAGGAATATCGTGTCCATCTATTTCCTGGTTTGGCTGTTTTATGGAGCCTATAGGTATTTCCATTTTTCTTGAGTGAAGGACTTGGGTTGGGCGTTGAACAAATACTATATTACTATATATTTATTTGATGTTCTTTGTAGGACCTATGCAGATAATAAATTCCGGTAGCTGTTTTCATCATAAAAGGAGTCCATGCCGCTGCGGCAGGAAGATGTCGATGGGGAACAGTATGAGATACTGTGTTCGCTTTGCGAAGAGCCAGAGAGCCAGAGCTGGCGGAGTCCTGGGCTCTTCTACTCTGGAGGTGGTTACAGGTCCTCAGAGCCTTCAGCCTTTCAGGGACCGTCCCACAAATGACGACAGGGATGAAGAACAACTGAAGGATGCAAGCTTAAACAACTTGAGACATGCCTTGGGGCTCAGTCAAGCGGATCGTGACATGCATTTAGCATTGTTGCGTTCAGCTAGTCAATACATGCAAAAAGTAAAAAGAACACCTGGACTTGGAGGGTTGGAGAGTTGGAGATGTGTGGGCATGGGAACTTTCTTCGCGCTTGCAAGTGACCCTCTAGACTAATATGTTTAGCTTGGGGTTATGCACTATTATAGACACATATATGTAATTGTGACTCCGACTAACTTTGATACATCCAGTGCATTATGTAGTTTGTGGGAAGAGGAGGGTGACAAGCGATTGAAAGTGGGAGCCTGCTCATCTGAGTGAAACAGCGCGACCCGAGATCTGCTCAGCTGGGACGAGATCTACTGCAAGGGCTCGCTAATCGAAACTCAGGCAGCCACAATCGCGCCTGAAATGCAGACGCATTGTTTCTATGTGTTTCTGATTTGCTGGACTAAGAGCTTGGATGTGTTGCGACTGGAACAAGGGTACATAGGTACACGACTAGCGAACCAACCTACTCCGTGCCCTAGGCAGTGGTGGACCGGAGAAAGTCATGAACACATCTCTTGTGAAAAGAAGCTACCAAGAAAACAGTACAGACAGTCCAGATCAATAGAGAATCTTTACAAGATCTCGGCAAGCATACATAGCACACTTTGTTACATGATTTGTTACACGCCAAAATCTCGACCCAAGGGAACCATTCAGAACCAGCAGGATCCATAACAGGGACCTCATACCACTTCCAGAATGGACCACTTGCGTGAACAGACAGTATGCCAACTTATGCTTGTTCCTGTGCACACTTTGGAGCTAAGGGGAGTCTTGGGGCCAGTCATGTTGTACTTTCATATTCGTCAAGGCAAACGATTTTCATGTCCATCAGAGTCTCAGATGATCTCAGATATTAAGACTTCTTTTGCGCACACACATCCAATGATTTCTTGCGAGATTCCATTTGATCCAATTTGATGCACTTCCAATTTCATCCAATCTACTAGGAACAAGAAGCTACTAGTAGCAAAGGGCATTACTAGGAGCTAGAAGCTAGTAACAAGGTGCATCGCTACTAAGAACAAGAAGCTACTTTGATCTACTTTGCGAGTTCCTTCGGATCTTTGTCGCCCCAGCAAAGAAGCAGCTTCCGATGGCACGCTCCACCTGGTGAGATCACCAGGGGGGCACGGTCGACCACCGCAAAAGAAGCGCCTGTGCCTTTGCAGGAAGATTGGTCCTGCTTTTCCGGTTTCTTCGGGTATGAGGCAGGTTGACAATCGAGGAATTCGTCGTATTTGTGCGTATTTTAACACTTTCCTAGTCTAGAGATGTCCAGAGTCTATAGAGGTGATTCGTTTTTGGATGTCTCAATGGAAGTGTCGGGTACGGACGATACTTGCTAGGCTGCATGATCTTTCAATTCATATCAGACTCAGTCGGCCGCCTATGTTGCCCTTGCACATCCATTTTCCCTGTACCAAGATGCATCGGTTTTTTGGGCAGTCACTCTGTTCTAGACGATTCTAGACGCATCTAGAAGCGATGACACTTTGTTGATGGTTTGATGGGAAATGGCACGGACCTCCACGTACAATGTAAATGGTAGATCCCGGTCACAGCAGTGTGCTGAAACTGGGGGGCAGTGCAACTACTTATATATACTTGGAACCTGCTGCATTTGTTTCCAAACCTTCAAAATGTTTGAGGTCCTGACACATGAAACACTTCTAGGGCCGCATTGATTTTATCACGCGGTTGTTCTGCGTCACCTTGCTTGAGAACAGTGCCCTTTGTGGACAGAGTCAAGCCCGTCAAAGAAACTGACATCCCTTCCAGCCAACCACGAGTGAAAGCCCCTTCGGTGGGGTGTGACGAGAAACGATGACTTCCCCAAAAAGGCTGCGCAGTAAGGTCCGCAAAACGGACGTTCGGGAGATTGGAACCACCAAAGGCAGTGTTCTGACCTTGTTTGGCAAGACAAAGGTGATACAGCCCTCTCCACTGCACAGACAGCTGGTCATTGAAACCTTACACACTATAAGGTGCTGTGGGCCAAAAGGACTTTGAAGTCCAAAAGCACTGCAATAATATCCCACAACTAGTAGCTCAAGACATGTTTTCCATCGGCAGAATGAGTGCCCATGCTCACATCAGCTAACGAAAAATGTGTATTCGTGTTTCTACTAGCTTCTTGTTACTAGTAGTAAGGCACTTGTTCCTAGTAGAGATGCCAGGAGCCCCTAGTAGCGTCCTTGCTCCTAGTCACCAGCCTTTTCGCTGGGGCAAAGTTGTGATCAAACTATTTGCTGACCGACCCCGCCTCCTGACGAACAGTGCGTTTGCCGAAAGAGAACACGCTCAAGTGAGTCAAAGCCACTTGAGATCTGGAGATCTGGACTGAGTGGGACAGGAACACACCATATACAGATTCAAAGGTGTATAGTTGTCTTTGGACCCATATTGCAGAATAGGCTTTTAGATGAGTTTAATGAGGTGAAGCGTGAATGATAAATCGAGAGATGATTGCGTGAGTTGCATCAAATGCGCCAGAGTGGTCATGAATCTGCAGATGTTGGTGGACTGTTTCCGCCCCAAACAATCTAGGAACAACACATGTAGGACAGGAACTGCCTGCAAGAGGGGCACGACATGGCATGACCCTCCAAGGGTTGCTCTTTGGAGTTTGGGAGCCTCTCTAAGGACTGTACATGTAAGCGAGTGCAGATCGATGGCGCAAGTTTGGGAACCAGCAACACCCCGAATGCGCATGTGTTTTTGTATTTTCGTCGTTTGCTTGCAAAGATTAGTGAATGTTGGGCAGATTTTCCGTCATGTAAACCTCCTGTCATCAAGTAGTTTCTCCATGAAAAGTAAAGAAATCGCTCGAACCATGCTGAAAAAGAACACACAGCGCATGAAACTCAATTTTCCATCGCTTCCTTTGCCTCGCTTAGCACTGGTCGCATGCCTCCATGGTGCTGGCGGGCAAAGGGTAGGAGGCCCAAGTGGAGGCTTTTCCAGGCGAAACACGGCCTGAGTGACACGGCGGTCCTTGATCGTCGTTCGGCCAAACATCGACGTTTGTTGCACCTGATACCCAGCTGCTGAAGCAGCTGCTGCCCCGGCTGCCGAAAAACCCAACCTTTTCCCTTTGAGACCGCGAGACCGCGGCAGGAGACCCATTTCTCCGATCGGCTTGCCACGGAGGATAAGCAATTCAACCAAACAACCGGCATCAAATGGCCATCTATATGTATCCACATTCCTAATACCTCATTCACCGGAAAGCTAGAGACATATGGAACATTGCATTGCATGACTAATTGGACTGGCTTGGACGTTCCATTTGGTCTACATCTTAAGGACTTCGACTTCGGGGATGGGCCCTGGGATGGGCCCTGCATGGTCCTACCAGGTCCTCACGGTCCCACAGCTCGGGATGCTTGTCACGAGGCACAGCGTCAAACGCAGCGTCAAACGCCGAGGTTAAACCTCTCGGCACTGCGGCGAGTCCGAGGACTCTGGAAAGAGGCCCCATCCTGACATCCGACTCGGTTGAACCGGAGGTTCCAAAAGGTGAAGCTTTGATGTTAGCTCTGAGCTTACTCTGAAGATACTCTTCATTTAATGAGTTGCGCAGGTTGGTTACTTTTGATGTTGCTGAAAGGACGTTTTCGTGCTAAGTTTTTGTTTGGGGATGGGCTGAAAGAACATCATCTCCAGTGGGCCCAGCTCTAGAAAGGGCATGCAGAACAGATGAGCTTTGCACGGTACTTTATCCAAGAAAGGATTTTTACAGCACAAAAAGCGCATCATTTTCTACTTCTTTACTTCCTTGGGTATCAGCAGCACCCGCAGTTTGGGTGCAACAGCCACCTTCATCGAGTTGCAGTGGGTTTACAATCAAAACCTAAAAGTGATTAACGTTATAATTCAATCGTCATATTCTATGATTGAATTTGAGCTTTATGGAAAAAGGCTTCCAGTGAAACAAACATGTGTGATGATTTTACCTTGTGCATTCCCTTGACAGGACAGAACCAGCTTCCCAAAGTCACCAGCAACCCCTCCAATGGCTCCACTAAAGCAACGTCCGCAAGATTCATCCCACCAAGCCTTGTAGGCATCTCACCTGCGTTTTTGGTGACCCGGGTGCCCCACAATAGCCATCAAAACAGGTTCATGGGGGAGCTTTCAAGGGGAACCCAAGGACTTCCCACCCCTGTTGCGTTCTTCCTTCACCCGGACCGTTCTTCGCGCTGCTGAGAACGTTTTCACCGGCGCTAGGAGCTACAGCCCGTGACCTTAGCCGAGCTGTGGGGGAACTCCCATGGAACGCCAGACGAGGAGCGGTCGTGCGTGGCCGGTGGCCAAACAAGGCAAAAACCAAGTCGGATGCAAGGTGACATGATATGACTTGTTTTTTCCCCACCTGCCAGGTGAGGGTTGTTAGATTTTATCACAGTTGTTCTTCCTCCTCCTCCTTCCTTCCTCCTTCCTCCTTGCTTCCTTCCTCGCCAATCTTCATCGCCTCGCCAATCTGCATCGCCAATCTTCATCGCCAATCTGCTTCGCCAATCTGCTTCGCCGATCTTGTCTGGCCAGCTCCGGATCGCAGTGTGCACCCCTGGACCTCAACCGCAAGGATCCCCTCGCAGTGTGCACCCCTGGACCTCAACCGCAAGGATCCCCTCGCAGTGTGCACCCCTGGACCTCAACCGCAAGGATCCGATCGCAGTGTGCATCCCTGGACCTCAACCGCAAGGATCCGATCGCAGTGTGCACCCCTGGACCTCAACCGCAAGGATCCGATCGCAGTGTGCACCGCTGGACCTCAACCAGATAGCTTGCCAGATAAAATACCAGATAGAGTGCCAACTAGATTGCCAGATAGAATGCTGCAAGAAGATATGCCAGATAGTATGCCAAATAGTGTGTCAGATAGATTGCTAGATACATTGCCAGATAGAATGCCAGAAAATATGCCAGATAGAATGCCAGACAAAGTGCCAGATAGAATGCCAGACAGTATGCCAGATAGTATGTCAGATAGATTGCCAGACTATGGCACCAAGTCAAATGATTGAAATGTCATGGTGGGGATCACTCGAAGTAAAGTATTTCTTTTTCAGGGGTTGTTTTTCTTGATCTAGTTGACGCCGTATTTACTTGTTTTTTCGTTCTCAGTTTGCATGAGTTGGATGGAACAGCTATATATATATATATGTGTTCCTTTGTTCATGGATCCTATACCTCGTGCTGCATTAAGATGTTGTTTCCCAATTCTCCCAACAGAGGGCACTGGAAGAGCACACAAAGCACCTAATGGGCTCCACTTTGGCACCTTGAAATGATGTATGTCCCTTCAAACTCCAGGCGCGATGCTTGCAATTGGCTCGCCAAACGCAGCGGCAGATCAAGGTGAGGAGTTGGGAAGGCAAGTAAATCACATTGTTTTTCTTTTATCACATGGCCTTCTGAGTTCTTCGATGTTAAGACAAACCATTGTCTCACCACTCACAACTTATATTTTAACATAATGTACCAGCACCATCCGACGGGTGCCCAATGAGTTTTGGGTTTACATGCTTGATAAGCGGTGCCCAATTGATGTAGTTGGGCAGCAGGAAAAACTGCATCAAGACACTTTGCTTCACAGGAAGTGTGGATGAGTGGTATTTTTCGTCCTGTTTGAGCCCAACGGACTTTCCCGACCCAGGTGTTTCATGGGGCGTTCGGTTGTTGAATTTGTTCCTCACCACGAGAGGAGTGCCCAAAAGAAGAACTTCTTGGCAACTTCTTGGTGGTTTCTTGTGAATATTAATATTTCAGCGTGTTTTTGATACACTGGGCCAGGTGCGGCTTGCGCAGCGGCTGCAGGATTTTCTGTTCTTGCCCTACAAGGCGGAGAGGGTGCGGGTGCGGCACGAGGTGAGCAGCACAACAGCTACATCAGTATGTTGTTGTTTATCAACCGACGAGGTTGTGATTGATATAGTGATTGTTATCTCAACATCGATGAATGTGCCTGTTCATGGATCATCATGGATCCGTACATCATCATGACAAGCGCGTGTTGTTGGACATCCGTACCTGGGGTATGTTGCCAAGAGACTTGGCACAGGATGGATTGAAACCAATGTTGGTGTTGTGAATTGTGAACATGTGTGGGGAGACCATCATTGGTGCCAGGCGTTGTGGTCAGGATGTTAGGATCCTCCGGTCGAATCGACCTCCCACCGACACCTTTTCAACGGGCCGGTGGGTGATCTGTGTGTCACGTGCCGCAACATTGTCCAGGCCATGGCAGATCCAGCTGTCCGGACATTGTATAGTAAGTACGTGAGTGCGTACACCATCCACGAGGTGTGAAGCCTCAGTGCGTACCCGGTTGAGAGTCGGGTGCGGGGCTGAAAACAGCAAGCGATGGGTTCACAGCAAGCGATGGCAATCAAGAACGTCATGTGGATATATACGATTTTCATAGGGAGACCCCCTGGCTCAATGGATTTTGGATGATTTTGGATCTATATGTTCTTCTTCCAGGAGTGTGTCTGGGAGGTCTCCCTATTTGGGCTACACATCTATGTCGCCAAATGAACATCAGATTACCAGACTTTGGGCGTCGAAGACGATCGTCACTGACCCTGTTGGGTGGCCCGAGGAGTTTGACGATCTGCGCCGGCCCGAGGACGTTGCCAAGTGACCCCCTTTTGAGATCGGTGGAGTCTGACCAGTTTTTCGGACGGAAGCATGCCAAATGTTCTGTGGATCTAGTATAGGCCTGCCCGGAGAGTTGAACAAATGGTCTATACGTTTGGTGTGTGCATTGAGGTACTGGATCTCCTTGGCGGAGATCTTTGAAGAAAACCAAAATGCCTGGGAGGCTCAGTTGCGCCTTGCACGGTGCGGCACAGTGGGTGCAGAGTCGAACAGATGTTCGACTGTATGAAGTTGCCCAAAAGGGAACACTCTCTCCAAAAGGAGTCCAGCATGTATTTCTTTCTCACTTCACTTTCTGAAACATGCTGCAGCCAGTTTGGGTGTTTTCTCCGATGCTAGGCACCGACCGATGTCGTTTGCTCCTTCACCCGAGGTGACCACCCTGCTCGGGATGGCGCGGAAGCGCCTCATCCGCTTGGACACAGGTGCAGCGCGCTAGCTAGCGCTGTGGTTGGAGGGATGGAAGGAAGGATGAGATGACGACTGTTGTTGACTGGGTAGCACATGGTTCCAATTTGGATCAACTTGGTGAGGATATTTTTTTTGTTGAGCTTGAGTCGATAGTTGTTCTCACAGCAGGTTTGGAGTACTGCACGTGAATAATTATATATTTACTCAGACAGTACGAGTTGCCCAATTTAAATGATTGTAGTATGTTGATTATGGTTTTATCATATGTATGTCCTTGCGCCAAGTCGTCCTTGATGCACTACAGTTTTGGAAACATAGTTCCGCAAAGCGTTTCCATGGGGTTGTAACACAAGACGGGTGACTTTTCGGAAGCTGGGTGACTTCTCTCCAGTGCCGCATTTCCATGCGACCGGGTGACTTTAGGCAAGCCCGTTTGACTTATATAACCCACGCGCTAGGTGAAAAGGTGGTGAAAGTATGTGGAAGTCACATTGGCTTTGAAGGTCCTGTTGGGAGCTGTGTTGCAGGATGTTTGATTTCAACTGAAGGAGCTCAGATGTTGGCCCTGCTTCCCTGCTGCCATTTTAGCACTATGGTTGGATAGACCTAGACTTGGACCCTCCAGTCTAAGTCCTGTTGTAAGAACTGCAAACGCTATTATATACTCCAGATCGATGCAGCACCCTCCTGGCAAAGGAACAATGTTCAACATGCACCTTGCTTTGTTCATTTATCTCTCCCACTCTCTCACTCAGTCACTCCTTTCTGAGCTGGGGGCTGTAGATACAGCCGTGTCTTGTGGGGAATCTTATTTTCAGCCATTATAATGCAGTGACAAGAGTTGCCTTAATCACACACTCGAAATGTAATGTGTCATTGTGTTCATACTATTTGGATCTATTTGGTATTTGCCGGGTGCACATAACATAACTTACTCTCGTGCCAACACTGTGTAGCAGTTGTCACAATTGGAATTACAGAGGTACTTACAACATTTTCTTAATGAACATGTTGCTTTGCTTATGAACAGTGATACCATAGTGATATCGCCTGAGACTTCACTCCACCCAAATCCTCCGGACAGGTTTGGCTCCATCCTTCGACCACTTTGTGTCAGACTTCCTTGCCGCGCGGTGGCATCGTACCGCAGGGGCATTGGTGAGACCGTGGGTAGACCAACCTTCCAACCGTCACGACGAAGATGCAATCCAAGCTGTCCATCCTACGAATTATTTGGACAGGGATCCTGAAAGGAGAAGAGTTTCCACAGCTACTTAACCGGACGACAGAGTGCGACGGTCCAGCATGAGCCAAGGGCTTCGAATCCACATCTTGGTTCATGTCCAAGCAATATTAGAATCACCAGGGTGTGTTATAGCCGTCCTTCATTCTCTCAGTGCATAGTCGTCGTTTTGCTTCCAGTTGCCTCATCTCTCGACGTGGCCACACCTCGAGGTGTCTCGCATTGGGACGCACCTGTTGGGCTCGGCCTTCTTCCAACAGGCAGCACCGGACCTGGGAGTCGTACTCGATGTGAGGGAAGACGATGGGAGTCGTGCCCCCAACGCAACCGGTAGCCATTGGAGGTCAACCACCGGTAGACCGGGTGGACAAAATACAATGCTCTTTCCAGGGATGGGTGGATGAGCTTGCCACTGCAAGACTGTGCTTGTGCTGTGGTAGAGAGGTGTGCAACTGTATTTTTTCCAAAGACTTGCTGAGGCTGCTAAGATGTCTCTCCCTCAATATCAAAGAAGATCCGGAAGGAACAAAGTTGTGTCACTTGTTCAGATCTACAATGAGCTGTGAGCAAATTGTTGTTTGTTCATGTTTGTTCCTTTGTCAATCCTTGTTACATAGTTGTGTGGAGTATGATGCACATGTTTGAGCAAGTGTTTTGGTGCGACCCCTTTTGGTCCACACGTGGTCCACCACCCAACACGTGCCTCCCAGGTGCCCACACCGGCCGGAGGCAAAAAACCGGCAGGTGGGCGGTCAAGCGGGCCTTGCCCGAGAACGGAAGTTTTGCTTCGGTTCTCATCGTGGCGATGTTAGAAGATGACGATTAAGACTTTGTCACCACCCTAGATGTATTTTCCAGATTTAAGACTTTGGGACATTCATGGAAATCAAAATCACTGCATGCCAAGTGCATGAGAATGATGCTGGATAAGATTGATCTTAGCCACGGCCAAGAATGATTCTTTCACCTGGCCGACTGGAGGGGGGACTAACTCTCAGACAGCAGGAGCAATCAAACCTCGACGTCAGAAGACACGCCTCTTCCGAACACTGTTTTTCCGCAAGCAAGACGCCCGTATGCCATAGTCAGTTTCTCATTGTGTCTCATGGTCATGGCCCGTATGCCATTTGCCGGTAACAACCTGTATGCTGCGCTTGAGCAACCTGGTTTGGTTGAAAACAACACAGTTTTGGATGTAGACACTGCTTTGAATGTTAATGTTTGTTTAAGCTTATGGAAGGTGCTAGTATCGGGCCCCACCAGAACTCCCGTGGCCTTGAAGATTCTGGATGACAATGTGTCAGGCATTTAGGAATTTTGTGCCATGGACTTGTGTGTGTGTGTTGGATTAACTACCAATTCTTAAGGGCGAATAGTCTAGATGTGGATGATGTCGTTGCAACGCTACATGCTGCAGGACAATGGACAAGACCTGTACCGTGAAGTTTAACATAGTTTGACCAAATACAACAAGACAATACCATGTTGACAGAAGCTCTGCGAATATTTCCTCATGTTTTGTTTCAGAATGGGGTTGATGTGTGTGAGAGACAGCTTTCTCTTGTACACTGGATTTACATGTTGGGGCAACTATTCTGTCAAGAACATCCACTCAAGTATGGGGTCGACTAATATCAAAAACCCTTGGAACTCCTGGCTGTTCGCTGTTCCGCTCAGCCGTTCGGCTGCGTGGCAGCTGAGACTTCCCCCACTGCCAGGTGTGGCCATGGGAGTGCTACAGCCCACAAGCCTGGGAATCCTGGCTTCTCACCGCTTGGACGTTGGGGAATGGTTATTTTTCCCGCTGTTGCCTGGGAGTTTCAAGGAGTTTCAAGGTCTTTCCAGCAGGTGTTCATGTCGAATTCTGGGAGTCCAACGGATGTTGAAAAATGGAGACAACTTTGCTAGTGGTTTCCCTCCCTTCTTGGTCCTGACGGGACCCGTTTCTCCCCTCGTCCCTCGTCTCGCCCTCGTCCAGCGTCTCGAGGCCCTGCAAGCTTGCTGGTGGCGTTGGTGCGCTACAACTGAGCGACCTCAGTTGAGTGTGTGGTGGGTCGAGTGGTACGAGTCAACGATAAGATGTTCAGGAACAGTTGGAGTGCGTTGGAATGCCAAATGGCTGTTTTTTTTAAACACGATTGTAGAGATCCCTAGGGATCCCTAGGGTATAGAAGATGGGCTGTTGGCTCCAAGTATGTGCAGAGTGAATCAGCATGGAAGAGGCCTTTGGGTTATCTTTGGTTTGTTCATTCATGAAATCCGAAGGAAAGACGGACCTTCCGATCCATCAGCTAGCAATTCTTCAGGAGACCAGCGATCCATCAGGATCTCAGATCAGAACTCTGAGCCAAGTAGAATCCTCCTCAGCACACGAAACATTGAACAAATGCTGATTTGTGATGTTGGTGATTGGTGCTTGCGTGCTTTAAGACCTGCTTGCGTGTTTGGCGCTTCTGCTTAGAGACTGCGGAGGTGGAGTCATTCAAGGGCCAGCACCCTGAGCAGCCTGTGCCAGTGGACATCCAGGCCGTGTTCCCCGGAGTTCTGGGAGTGCCTGTTTTGATTGGCTGTATAATTTTGGTTGTTTCGCGAGGCAGTCCTGAATTCATATGGGCCTGCAACATCCTGCAACATATAGGCTCAACATTTGTGGAATATATGGTGGTCTCGCAGTGTAGCACCCCAACCGTCTATGTTTTGGCAGCATCACTCAGCTAGGCGGTCGGCGTTTTGCTCCCATTTGGGATCCCAGTTGATTGGTTTTGGTCATGGTCCCAAGATCTGCAAGAATTGTGTCGTCGTGTTTTCTCACCGTGTGCTGTTTGGCTGCCAGGGCAACACGGAGACGACGATTCTCTACATCCCTGGGCACTTGCGCGGCATTTTGCGCGAGTGCCTCGCCACGCTCTCTGGTGGATCGCCAACCTAATAGAACCCGGAGGAACAGAGCTGAAACTTGCAAGTACGGGTACCGGTATGGGCCATGAAACTGTTGGAAGTACTGTTGGACAGCAAGGGCGGATAGCAAACACCTGCTGGCAAGGGACAGAGTTGCAGCCTGCATCAGTTCCCTCAATTGGGTACTTTACATTACTTTACTAGTTTTGTCTTGAAACTGCCACAGACAGACACCATGATACAAGTTTTGTCATTTGAAGAAGCCACTGGCTCCCTTGGTGGCCTGGTGGGGGCGTTTGATGTCTTCAATCTATGGAAGGAAATCTAAAGAAAGTTTCGATTTGGGGACCTGCAATCTGAGTGTGTTTGTTTTTGTATGTTTTTGTGACTTTGTGTGTGTAAGAAATCCAGGCACAGATGGTGTCATGGCAGTTGGGTGGAAGTGCACTGACGGGACATTGGATGTTGCCCCAGCTTTCAGATGGACAACTTTTGTGAAACTGCCATACCATGAGGTTGGTGCGGATTGCTTGGAGACAGGACTATCCTGGTTTTGTGACATACAATTAGTGTTGGTGCAACACCAACTTTTGACAGGATAGGAAAACAAGAGAACCCTCAAAAGAAACGCAGGCTTCCTGCGGTCCTGCGGTCCGACAGACCACTAGTACTACATACGATCATATACGATCCTGCATCAGACCATCCATCTCTATGACTGCAAACTTTGGTTTTGGTCAGGGTCCTGCACAATGCCATGCGGGAGACTGCAAGCCATGCGGAGGCAGGTTGGTCTCAGTGTTCGAACACTTGCCGTCGCACTGATTGAAGTTGCTGTTGTTTGTACTGTACATAATCTGATCATATGGCTTATAGATTGTGGGGTTTCATAGTCAAGAAACAGAAGTACACCTCGACATGGAAACTGAGCCGTGCCCTTTGACGGTAATGTTCATCTACAAAAACAGGGTTTCCACATGGACTTACTGCAAGCCTCATATGTCAGGTACAAGTATATACCTCACCTGTCAATTGTACAGTTGCATGGGATGGGTTCCTTGTGTGTCGGCAATGCTTGAGGTATTGTTTTTTAATTAAGAGGCATCCAAAAGAAAACACACAACAAAGACGATGCTGAAGATTCCAAAGATTGTTGATTCCAGATGCTTCAGCTTAAAAAGGCTTCAGGTCAAACCATTGGCATATCAATCAGGACTGCACAAATGCCCGCCGAGCCATAGCACAATTGTTTTACAAGCTATGCACATAATAAGCCTTGAAGGGCGGATCCCTGAGACTTCTTTGCACATAGCATTGCTCTTTTAAATTCTATTTATTGTTTCTAATAGCTTCATGTTCCTAGTAGTAAGGCACTTGTTACTAGTAGCGATGCATTTGTTCCTAGTAGCTTATTGTTTCTACAGATGCTTGTAGGCTATAGCATTCAAAAAAGTCCAAGCTGTGAGTCCAAGCTATCACGCTGTCACACGATCGATATGTTTAATTCCTATCAGTCGAAGTAATTGACGTGCTATTGGATTGTGCGGTCACTTGTTTGAGAGTTGCGATTACTGTATATCGAAATGCTACTGGATATTGCCGCTTGTGCATGGGTAGAATACCTGTATATAGTACCCCAGATTGCCGGGACTGCTGGTTCCTTTTCGCAGACCCTTGGCTCAAGGCCAAGAGCCTTAGAGCCTTTGAGCTGTACAAATCTTAGGGGGGTGTATTTTTTAGCCTCTTGGGCCCCTTGAGAGGAATCCCTTGCCAGCTGACCTCTCAGCATGGGGTTTCAAAACTTGAAAACTGATGAGCCATGAAGTCAGCCGGGACCCAGATGTGCTGTACTCTTTGACCGAGGTCCTTGTTCTTTGTTTCAGAATTGGGACCGGAAGGAACCACCCAAAAGACTGTTTGTATGGAAAATATAGACCATTAAAAAATATGACATCACACTGACGGGGTTTTCGGATCCGGAAAGCACATAGACAGAGTCCAATATCAACCTCCACCAGTCGTGCAAAGATATGTTGGTGCGAAAAGGTTCATGGATTCCATGGCGGGAGCTTCACAAGGTTTGCTCCTCCTCCCGTCCACTTTCGGTGGACTCCACTTCCGGTTCGTCCGATCCACTCTGAAACCCATGTGGTGCCTGGCTGGCGATGGTCCCGGTCTTGGGGAAGTCCCAGCGGACTCGGATCGGCATCTCAGTGAAAAGAAAGAGGTTTGGAGGGCAAAACAGCCAAGTCGAAGGGACGGTTTGAGCCCAACCGGGCTGGATCTTGGGGTTTGATTCAGAAGCTCAACGGAACTTTCAAAGGCCTTTGAGTAGATCAACAGTGATTGAGCCTACCCAAAGCATTCAAGGTAGTTTAACTCGGTTGAAGTAATTGGGGAATAGTGCTCTCTTGGATCGGATTTGCGCACTTGATTCGTTCAGCTTCAACCACTCTTCCATACTCTTCCTGTACATCTGTGTTTTGTTTCAGAAGCTATGCCAATTCCTATAGTATGGCTATCAATTGTGAAAACTGTTGTTTTTGTGTGTACATCCTTGTTTTGCGTTCTTTTGCCATTGGTTTTGAGCCTTCAGAAGGCGACCAGAAATTCGCTGCGTCCGAATGAGTCCCGGTTGGACAGAAACGGCCGACCTTCCGGTCGTTGGTGAACGGGGAGTCGCTCCAGGCTCCGAACGGCGATGAACGGAATGGAACGGCTTAGGTCACAGAACTCACCATGAGCAGTCCACTGTTGCAGAACTGCATGCGGACGGGGACGGGGACTCAACTAATGTTCAACCAGGAACTTGTCTTTTCCACAGACCATCGTGGTTCCTTATAGCCCGCCCTAACCGCCAAGAATTCAACGGCGACGAGACCTTCACTTACTTCCAGCGGCCAGCAGAAGGTGAGGCAGTTACACTGAGTGGATACAGAAGGTTTGGAGTTTTCGCTTGGAGGGTCAAACAAACGACGCATCAATGTCCACTCCGCCCATTACAAACCCATAACAAGCATCGATGAGTCGGCATCCTCTTGCCATATACAGGGCCTGTATGTGCGTGGAAAACATGAACAGGGATAGTATGTGAGTGAGCTTGAAATCGTTACGACTATGACACCTCAGCGTTTCCCCTTATTAGGTGGATTCTCCCAGAGCTTTCCAAGCACGAATAGCGCGAACTCGACATATATATGTTGATTTTTGTCCGCCCACTCCTGCAGAGTTAGACAAACTCATTCAGGTCAAAGACTCAGACATTGCAGGAGCCCCGGTAGGTTGACTTAGTTTGATAGCAGGTGTAGGTTGCAAGTTGTTGCGATCCCTGACGTCCGCGGTTCTTGCGTGTTTTTGGTTGGAAGGGACGGTCCATCCGGTCGGACGGGTCAAAGCATTCTTCAATCGGATCGAATCCGATCAAATCTGCAGATGCCATTTTCAATGGAGAGCTCTTCAAAGAGAAGGCACCTTGGTCGGGATTTGATATGTGCGACGCCGGTTCGATTCTGGATGAACCAATATTTGCCAGGCTTCGATTTGGGATGATATGATTTGGCTGGGGTGTACAACCCAGGCTGAGAGAATGTCCTGTGGAAGAGGATTCTGTCCATGTATTGGGGATGTACAGTACGTCTCAGAGGCCGCGTGTAGGTTCACTGGGTCGACCGTTCACTGGGTCGGGCCATTGATTGATTGGGCGTTCACCAGGACATCCTCAGCCGGGTCCATAGTGTGTTGCCTCAGTGATTTTGCGTGGGTGCAACTCGAAAATGCCCGCCACTTTGGCTCTAGTGATTAGTGCAGTATGCATGTGTTTGAGAGGAAACTAGAATGAATCAGTGCTTCAACTTGGACATGTCCTGCTGAAGAAGCATTGGTGGTTTAGTCATTTCTGTTCGGTGCCATTAGCGGTTGGTCGAGGGATTTAAGTGGCGCGTGGTGTGTCACAGGCATCATAAGTGTTTTGGACCTTCAGATGGTTTCCTGGTTTCGTCTCGGTGTCCTTTGTTGCCTGTCATAACCCGGGCTCTCACCTGTGCCGGCAGATGATGGAAGGCTTTGAATACTGGTAATTACAGATTGAACGCTTCAGAGGCACATAGGTGCTTTGTATATTGATGGATATTCAATTATATTCATGCTATATTTATGGCTCCAGCCAGGATGTTGAAGCAAGGTTTTTGGTCAGAAGACCTTACAATTGCTGTGAAACAGCGGTGCGTCGACTCAGGAGCGACAGTTTTTGAAGAGGAATATGAGGCGACGGGGGGAACGGTGAGTGGTAGCAGCGAGGCACGGAGACGAAGGCAGAGACCAGGCACGGAGGCGAGGCTCTCTCGTCTCGTGAGATATAGATCGCATGGGTTTGTTGGGTTTGGGGAACTCTCCCAGTAGACCATATATATATATTTATATATGAATGCATACATACTTGCGACACAATAGGCTGACAGAGCAGTTGCCATTTTCTTTTTGTCGGAGAGGTTGCACAACGTCTCCTTCCCCATCGGCCACCAGCAAACGGTGCAAATTGAGCTGAAGAGCTTCTGGCAGAAGGAGTCCATGAATCTGAATCGTATCTTGGTCGATCTCAGCGTCCAAAACTCCTTCTGGTCTGTTGAGTTTCCTTCCAGTCCATGAAACTGGTCATATTGAGTGTCCTTCCGGCCGCATCGCGGCACAGCCAAACAGGCGCCGCCGGGCCGTTCGGACGTGGTTGTTGGATGTGAGTTGGTCACACCCAAACAGACTAAACCAACGAGTTTGATACTCTATAGTTGAGCTGATGAGTGGGTGCTTTTGGAGGTGGGGTGTATAAATAGATAAATGCAGCCCCCCACACCCGCGATGGAACAGTTGCGGTTCTTTGCAACAGGTATATATCATTAAAGGATCTGATCTAAATGTCTAAATGCCATAAATGTAGTCAAAGGAGTAGAAAGGGGGTGCACTTGCCCCGGCAGGCGTCACCTTCCAATCAACTAGGTGCTTCGACCCGACTTCACTCGTGGCCTTCCGGTCGTGGCCTCACTCCGGACTCCCCAAAGGTCGGGGCCTCCGAGAAGGGCGCTTCGTGACACTGCTCTCGGACCAGCGGCCGCCCATCGAGGACGCCTTGGCCTGGGTGAAGTGCTTCGGCCCATCGAGTCGTGCACCGAGCACCCGAAAAATCCCGGAGGTGCTGAACGACTCGGGGTGGACTCCCGGGTCACCGCCAGACGTTCCAGGGGGTTCATCCCCAAAGGGTTGCGCCCTTGGGTCTTGGGCCAAGACATGGAGTCCTTGGTGATGGGAAGTCCACCAAACAGGTCCCATTGAATCATACTGTACCGATTGAAGACATCCCGTGATCGATACGAAGATCGTCACAGACTCCTGGGATCTTCTGGGTGACCCGGTTGTGGCGGTCTTAGAGTGAAGCTGAGTACACAGCAAGCAGAGAGATTGAGGGTCTGGCCGGTTTGGCCACATCCAGCTTTTTGCCTTTTGTTCTACCAGAGATACTTCGAAGTGACCAAAAAGGGATCTTGGCCCACGGGGCTGAGTGTTGGACCAAGAGACTATGCCATGTCTTCAAAGTCAATCCCAAAAGGTCTGAAAGACCGGGATACTTGGGATACTTGGGATGTCTCCTGGCCTCCAATCTACGGCGACACCCGCGAACCCAGGCTTGTATGGCCATTGTACCTCGGACGTGGAAAGTCAGAGTTCGTCGCCCTGGTGAGCTTGATTCCACACTGGAGACAGGATTAATGATTACATTGATTACATGCTGCCAAC